TTGGCGCTTTGAACGATTACGTAATTGTGACATCCATAATTGTAATCGCGATTAGAAATTCGATTAATTGTGCAGCCCTAACTCATACACTATGTACTTATGCACTATGTACTCAACCATGTATAGTATGAATTATAGAAGGTTATTTTGTCATTCATAATCGGAGTCTGATAGCCCCTCCCCCTTCGGTACGTAAATAAAGCTGCGACAATTGAGTGCATGAAGTGTTCAACATTCCACTCTTAATTTTTTCGGTTATTTAAGTGCATCCTGCGTGTATTTAAAGTGCACTTTTTCTTTTTGGAATTTTCAGTGTGAACGCACTATTTATACTACAAAACGTCATAGAATAGTGCGTAAGTACGCGATTTGGGACGCACCTAAAGTTCCGAATACAGTTTAAATAAATGATTTCATTATTTTATAGCAATAAACGATAAATAAACATGAGATAATCTTGGATTTAATTATTGTTTATCAGTTTTAATAATAAATAGCTATTGAACTTTTATAAACTGGAAAAATATTTTGTTTATATTTAATTGAGAACAATGGTATTATTCATATATAGCTAGTATTATAAAAAAGGAAAATGTTTTATTTTGTATGCAGAAACTTAACACTGTTGATGCGAAAGAGTCTAAATTGTGTTACTAAATATTTAATTGTTAAATAAATCTGAGGTGAGGTCACCATTTTAAAGAAAGATGAGGGTACAGAATTTTACTAGACTTAAAACTGTTCATGCTATGTACATTTTACAAACGTTGGGTTTGGCTAGTTGACCAAACGTTTCTACTAGTTCTTTCTCTCCAAAGAACATGAGGTTTGTGCCTTTGTTACCAAATCAAAAGTCTTAAAGGGGTCATAGGATGCTACATGCACTTTTACAAGTTGTTTGAACTGAAATGTGTGTTGGCAGTGTGTGTACACAACCACCCTATAATGATAAAAAAATTATTTTTTTTTTAATCTCGTTAAATGTTTTCCCCTTTCTCAAATCGAGCCGATCTCAGATGCCTGTCTGTGTGATGTCACACAGACAGGCCCCTCCCACGATAGTTTGATTGACAGTAGTGTTTCAGCACAGACTGGACTGGTGTCTTACCTCAGACCCGCCCTGAGTGAGCTGTCATCAGTCTGCCATTGCTTCACCGCTGGAGCAGATGTAGACAAGAATGACTCCTAAGCGATTGAGGTGTTCTGTTGTTGGATGTAATAATGAACATAGCAGTCGTCATTTACTCCCGACATCTGAGCCGCTGAACTCGCAGTGGATTACATTGTTTCTGAAGGGAATGCACCCCCGATCTGCCTAAATGCGTCTTATGTTTGCGCGAATCATTCATGATCCAGCCTCATCTACAGAAGAAGTGAGTATAATGTTCTGTAATTAATCTTTGCAAATCGCCTTTCCTAATAATGTGCTAATTAGCAAGTTTCACATGAATGCAGCTAAAGTAAACAGTCTCTCTGAGAGCAGCTCGGAAGAGAGGGGCAGGGTCAGCAGAGCTCATTAACATTTAAAGGGAAATGCTACAAAAACGGCTTGATCTGAAAAGAGCTGTTTTTGACAGGGTAAAAAATGAACTTTTTACACTACCATTGAGAAATTTTAACCAAACTATGTTACAGACTTTTCATTAAGACCCTAACGAATCATATCAACTTGTGGAAAATGGGCATCATATGACCCCTTTAATGTTTGTTAGTGATGGGAGAAACTAACCTTTTTACAGCTTTGAATCAATTAAATCAACTTCTTCGCAAAACGATTCACATTGCAAATGTTTTATTGAAAGTATGATATATTAAATGCAATTAACAAATCATCAGATAACTAATATGAAGTGCCTGTATAACATGTTCTTTGATTAATTTGTAGGATTTTGTTTGTTTTTACGGAGGGCTAAACAGGCCAATCATAGACTATTAACTACTACTCTTCCTTTTATTTGCACAAACGTCTCATTAAAAATGTCTACAAATTTATAAAACTGATCCGAGATCGATAAAAACCAGACACTGGTTCAGTTTTGCTGTGATCCTCCTAACGGCGAACCATCGACATTTTGAAACAGTTGTGACGTAACAAAACCTCAGAAATCCAGTGTGCATACTTGGTAAAACAGCGAAGTGATAATGAATTTGTATTGATCTCTCGCATTTATTTTGGTCTCTTTCTTTCCAGAGTGATTGAAAAGAATGGTGTGGGGATAATAGTTGACCAGGACAGTCTGGAGTTTGTCAGAGGAGCCACTATTGACTTCAGTCAGGAGCTCATCCGTTCTTCCTTTCAGGTGTTGAAGAACCCACAGGCTGAACACGGCTGCTCTTGTGGCTCGTCCTTCTCCGTCAAAATCTGACGCCCATCCTCTCTCCATCACAGCGCTATAGTTTATGAAGTTGTTAATGTGTGCATAGCTATGTGCTTGTTGAAGATCAGCCAAAAGCATGATGATAAGCTAACGTGAGGGGTTCTGATATGCTCAATCTATTAGTATGACCACAGAGGATGTAATAGAAGAAAAACAAAAATCAGACCCTACAGTTGGTGGCGTGTTGTATATAAGGAAGATTGTAAATATATTTCGAATAAAGTTATAATATAATATGATTTGCCATTGCCTGTTAAGATTATTATTTTGGAGGGGAGGGGAGGGGGGGGGGTTGTATTCTCAGGGTCAGTTGCGTAGTTTATCACAGCCTATTATTCTGTGATTTGAATCAGTGTTCAGAGGAATCATGTGATAATGAATAGGTCAGCATTTCTTAAGATACAGCTCAGATATATGTGACCCTGGACCACAAAACCAGTCTTAAGTCACTTGGGTATATTTGTAGCAATAGCCAAAAATACATTGTATGGGTCAAAATTATCTAATTTTTCTTTTATGCAAAAAATCATTAGGATATTAAGTAAAGATCATGTTCCATGAAGATATTTTGTAAATTTTCTACTGTAAATATATAAAAACTTCAGTTTTGATTAGTGATATGCATTACTAAGAACTTCATTTAAACAGCTTTAAAGGTGATTTTTCTCAATATTTCGATTTTTTTTGCACCCTCAGATTCCAGATTTTCGAATAGCTGTATCTCTGCCAAATATTGCCCTATCCTAACAAACCATACATAAATGGAAAGCTTATTTATTCAGCTTTTTCGAAAAATTGACACTTGAGACTGGTTTTGTGGTCCACGGTCACGTGTATATACAGGTGCATCTCAATATATTAGAATGTCGTGGAAAAGTTCATTTATTTCAGTAACTCTAAATTTAAATAACTACATTTAATTTTTAAATCACAATTAAAAGAACCAAAGACTTAAACTACTTCAGTCTGTGTGCATTTAATTTATTTAATACACGAGTTTCACAATTTGAGATAAATTACTGAAATAAATGAACTTTTCCACGACATTCTAATATATTGAATATATATATCTAATATAATATATTGAATATATATATCTAATATATATATATATACATTGCATAAAATGGATTAATCACAATTTAAATACTTTCGGATTAGATTATAAAAAGTGTTGTATGTAAATCTCATATTATCTTGATCATAAGGAAGTTCATTATCGTAGTATATGATGCATTGTTTTATGATGACAAAGTTTTTTCCTGAAGATGATCAAAGCCAACAAATTGTCAAAAGATTTTAAAGGAATCTTCCGTGTTCAAAAGAAGTTAAGCATGATTTCGGCCAAAAAAATAATTTGAACTCTGTCCTCATAATAAGTGCATTACTCTAAACTATATTTAGTGTGATAATTGATATGTCACCGATTTGTATTAAGCCCAAACAATCAATCTACATCACTTCAGAATGAATGTGATTTCAATGAAATCAGAAACTGATTTTTGAGAGTGTAAAGTGTTTTACATGAACGTGTCATATATATTACAATTTTTATTTTTTTTATTAAACTTGGCTTTTAAGAAACATTTCACAAAAATATACAAAAGAATGTCTTTACAAATGATATTTACATTGATAACAAGAAAATCAAAATATGCATTAAGCACATCTCTTTCGGTCAGGATGATACCGAAGGAGAGAAAATGAACCTCGACAATCCAGCTGAGTAAAATCTAATGAAAATAAAAACAATATTAAAAAAAACACTTTAATTCCTAATCAGAATGAATATGATGTTATGAAGGCTTCAGCAGCAAGATGAACAGTGATTTCAGATAAGACAGCATTGACACAAACTCATTTCATTCATTTTCTGAAGGATTGCAATTGCATTACCATTTTTTCTTTTAAACTTCGATCTCAGACATGAAACAAAGCATAAAGTTCATACCTACTCGCACAGATGCACAAAGAGACATCTCAAGTTCACGAATCGAGCTAAAATTGCTACATATGAGGTTAGGAGTGTCATCTATACTGTTTAGGGAGATCACGTTCAAGATCAACATTACCAGACCACTGGACTACCACAGTGAGCAGGTCAAGTATACAGTGCATAGAATGCTTTGGCATGCTGACATCCTAGAATATAACGCCAGTGTTACATTCAGGGAGAAGGCCACAGGAGATCTAAAAAAAACCTCAAAAAGATCCAACATAACTACAACAGAAAACAATCAGGTTATAAATAGAAAACGAGAATCTCCAACAGAAAAACACACCTAAATGAACAAAAATATGGGTAGTTTAAGGCTAATCGTACTTAGCTTGCTACAAGTTCTTTTTAATTTGGAAGAAAGTCTTAAAGAACATTTATACAGATGGACTCCAAAATAAATTACGTTCTGCAACTTGTAGCGCAGAATTTTCTTTTTGTGTGTGTGTGTGTGTGGTGGGGTAAACACATACACATCTGACAGATCTTTTACTGTATGTTGGGTCATGTGACACTTTGGCCCAACTATCATTCAAAAACAGCTGAGTTCAGGTAAAGGTGACGGCTCATTAAGACGCATGGATCTGGCCCCGGAGCAGACAGATGGGGAAATCCTCATTCCACGAGTCAGTTCACTCGTGCTGTCAGCTGGGCTTGTGATGGTTTTGAGGCAGAGGAGAGGAGACTGCATGCCCTCAGTGAGGAGCGTGAACACACCGCCATACAAACAGACTGAAACACACACAGAGAAAATGTAACAACATCATTGTAGAAGCATTTATAATAGTACTTTTAGTGCGACTCCCCAAAATTCTTGGTTCTGATTGGTTAATGACAGCATACTGCAGTGTATAATTAACTGATGCCCAACGGATTTCCTACTGTACTGTAGTTTCATGTCTGTTTATTGTCCATTTTTTATGTATTCATTCATTCAAATTTTACTTGGCAATATGAAAAAAGTTCATTTTGGATCCTAATTTTGCCTCAGTCATGGGTCATTCCAAAATATTTATATACTGTATATACACTACCATTCAAAAGTATGGGGTTAGCAATATTTTAATTTTAGATTTTAAGAAATGAATACTTTTATTCAGCAATGATGCATTAAATTGATCGAAAGTGACAGTAAAGACATTTACATTGTTACAAAAAAATTAATCAAAGAATACTGAAAAAAATAATACTTTTGTGAAAATATGATATAATAAGACATGTTTCTTGAGCACTAAATCAGCATATTAGAATAATTTCTGAAGCACCATGTGCTGAAAATTCAGCTTTGCCATCACAGGAATAAATTACATTTTTAAATATATTCAATTCAATTAAATTCAAGTTTATTTGTATAGCGCTTTTCACGAAACAATTCGTTGCAAAGCAACTTTACAGAAAATTAAGTTTCTACAATATTTAGTAGTAGCTTATATGGCTTTTCTATATTCAAATAGAAAAGTTGAAATTGTAATAATATTTTAGTTACTGTTACTGTTTTTACTTAATTTACTTCATTAGGTTTATTATACTATGTGTGTCTGTATGTGTGTGTATAAATACAGTACATACATATACACACACACGTGTGTATATATATATATATATATATATATATATACATACAGTGGGTACGGAAAGTATTCAGACCCCCTTAAATTTTTCACT